GGCGGGGGCGGGAAATGTCTCGCAACTTTACAGAGGAAGGGAAAGATTATTTTATCAAGATAAATGCCATACAGTGCCTCTAATTGTGCTAATTCTAATCTGAATTCAGACATGAGCTTCCATTGTTTCCAAGGTCTGATTTTAGGACAGTCTTTGGATAGTTCCCACAGATGGGAAATTCGCTTGCATTCTGTATGGTTTCTTGAGGGGTCTTGTGGCTATTTCATATGCATTTCTACAAGAGACACTTTGTTCTCCTCTGTGACATGCAAATGTCTTTAACTACTCAGAGCAATCTCAACAGAAAGATGATGAAAAGCCTCGATTATTGTAAGAAGGGAACACATAAACCCAGCAAAGTTTGACTATAAACAGAGTAATTCTGGTTCTAACAAGGATAGCCCCGACTGCACTGTACCTGTGAGAGGCAAATGGCTCTGCCAGAACACACCACCCGAGTGATGTAAGAGCTCCCAGTCACCATGAGGCAGCGAGTCTCATGATCTCAGTGTGCATTCACATTTACCTTCCGTTGTGCTACCTTTGTAACGAAATTAGAAGTGTGATATTTGACATCTTTAATACTAATTAGTCCTTCCTCACTACCCACCTCCTGGATAAATATTTAGACATCGTGAACAGTCTCCCTGAGTACTCTTTGTCTTTTCTGGAGACTTTCTGAAGCTTCTCCTCTACTTCAGAGACCTTCTTGGCCTGGTTTTCTTACAGTCTACTTGGAAACGAGAGATACGTGAGGCCCGAGTCTGTGGAAGGCTCCACGAACTGGGATGACTCAAATTATTATGTTCAAACGTTGAGTGTTCATCATGAGGAGGGTTGTTGGGCACATTCAACTGGTCATGAATGTTTGGGGCGCCACGATCTCAGAGCGGGGCGAACTTTTGGCCGCTCCTTGTCCCTCGCCGTGTTCTGCCCCACGCGCTCTTTGTCACGCCCCGGTGCCACACGTCGCCGAGGGTCACCGGGTGACCGACGCCAACCTGAGCTCGGGGCCCGAGGCCGCGGGGCCCGCGGGGCGCGGCAGTGCGGGGCCGGCGGGGCCGGGCGGGGCCGGTGCGGGGCCGGCGCGGGGCCAGCGCGGGGCCAGCCCCGGCCCCGAGCACATGCGGCGGGCCCGGGCGGGCGCAGCCAATGGCGGCGGGGCAGGACATGATGTCAGCGGGGCTGTAGAAAAGGCGCGGAGCCCCGCGCGGTGCCCGCGCCGCAGACGCGCCGCTCCAGCCCCGCCGCTCCAGCCCCGCCGCGGCTCCGGCCCCGGCCGCGCTCCCGCCCCGGCCCCCGCGGGCCGCGCCGCTTTAAGGAGAGAGGGGGGCCGCGAGCGCTCGTCCCATCTGGTGCCCGTCCAACTCTCCCTCCTTCCCCTTGGCTTTTTCTTTTCCCAATGAGCTCCACCGGGCTGGGGGAGGAGCGGGGGAAGGAGCAAACTTTGCCCCTGAGCTGCCGCCGCTGCCAGCCCTCTGGACTGTGAGCGCGTACGGTGGGCACCCGCCCCAGCCTCCCTGCAGCACCAGCCTGCTCTCCGCCTGCTGCAGCCTCCCTCTCCCTCGCTTTGCTCCTCTAAATTTCGCACAGTACGATGTAGGGGGCTTGTCGTTATTTTTTTTTCAATTATTATTTATTTCTCACCGAAGATGGTTTAATTTTTTTTATATTTCTATTATTTATTAATCCCTCCCAACCGTAAACCTGCCCAGCCTTCTGCCAGCTGGGCCAGAGCATAAAGCCTGGGACTGCACCTGGGGCAATGAGCCCTGCACTGAAGAAGCCTCCTAGAGGGATGTGCCGGGGCCGCGCAACAGACTAGATCCGAGCCCCGAAGCTCACACCATCAGTTATCCCCTCTCCCTCAGCCCCTTCGCCCGCCTTTTCTGCGCCCCATCCCCCTGAAAGCTCGGACCAGTGCCTGCGCCGCGCTCCGGAGAGCTCTGCCGGGGGAACAGCCCGGTGCCCGAGGACAGACGGGGCGGCCGTGCTAGATGCATGGGGGAGGGCTCCGGTTAATGCAAGTTCTGGGCTCCTGCAGGGACCCCGACAACTGTCAGCAGCAGCAGCAACTCGGGCCCTCCTCCTCTGCTTCCTCAGCGATGCTTTTCCACAGTCTTTCCGGCTCGGAGATGCACGGGGTCATCGACGAGATGGATCGGAGAACCAAAAGCGAAGCACCGGCCATCAGCTCGGCTATAGACAGGGGAGAGACGGAAACGGTAGGAGCCGAAGGAATGGGAGAGTCAGGCACCCCCCTAAACGTACCAAACCCCTCACAGATACGGCTTTTCCCCTAAAATAACAGATCGGGGGGAAACGTATGCAAAATGCTAAATCAGAAGAGATCTGAGCGTAAAGGCACCCCAAAAGATTAAATGAAACCGTGGGGAAAGGCATGAAACTGTTAATTATTAATAATATGCATAGTAATAGTAAGGCTTGGGTGAAATGAACGGTACTGCTCTTGCGAGAAAACAGAAAGATAGACCAGCCTTTTGGTAGCGTCCAAGAACTCCTTCCCTTCCCCCAGCCTGTCCGGCCTTCCAAAGTTTTTAGGAAGAGGCGAAGTACGGCTTTATAACGATAACATTTTGGCACAGCGAATTTTTTGTCTGCAGAATGGAAACACAAACAGCAGAGAATCCAGTTCTGTGTTATTTTTCAGGTAGGATGTCTACAGTGAGACAGTCTTTATAGCATTTATTTAAAAAAAACCCCAAAGCAAAACAACCCCGAGTGCCCTTAAGTTATTGTTTTTAAAAAATAATTTTAATATGTGGGCTTGTAAACATGGCAAACAGAACTGGAAGATATGTTTCAGGGAGACGGATGGATGCGATTTTTTTATAACTTTGCCACTTTTTACCTTCTGTCTGCTGATGCACAGTACTTGTATATTAATACATTTAGATAATAAAAGGATGCATCCGTCTAAACAGCGCTAAGCTGGCAGAGTGGGAGAGATTTCCGAAGTGTCTTAACTGATTCAACAATTCACATATGCTTTTTTACATTTTTTTTTATTATTTTTTTTGTTAAGAAATAATTCTGAAGTGAAACGATCTCGCACGTTGGTTAAATGCTGTCTCGTAAGCTGATACGGGCATATGCAAGGAAGATCTGTTCTCGGGTTTTCGAACTCCATCAGTGTGTGTTCTTTCTCTTAATGCTATGTGGAAATTTGCTTAAAGGTGGCAGTGAGACTATTTAATCCTGAAATACTGGCTGAAAAACAGCCTTTGTGCTATAAGGGTGGGACATGATTTCTAATCTAAACGGGTTTGGTTTTCTTTGAAAAAGTTAATATTTCTCCATACAAATAAACAACATCGAATGATCTTCGTTGGAATAAATATTGTGACATGATAGCTTTATCTAACTATATATAATGTATATGCATACACGTGTGTACATAACAAATAGTGGGATGGAGTACTCGATCCTTGAATGCCATTTCTGAATCTCAGAATATTTTTGTTACTGGAAAAGCAAGGTAGAAAAAAAATCGTTATTTCATTTAAAGTGGTTTTACAAGAAACTATTTTGGTTATAAAATGATCCCTACTCGGAGTTCGGTTAATGCCTTAAAGAAACAAGCTCCCGGTGGGTTCCTGTGACTAACACCAGTGGAGTGCCAGGGTTTTATTTGTGTGGACTTCTGCTAGTGGGAGCGGTGCGGTGCAAACGGGAGCGCTCGCAGCGACGGGATTTTGCGATTCCCGCAAGCAGGGGATGAAAGGGACGGCTCTGGCATATGCTGGAAGCGCAGCCTCGGACCCTTTCCATTGCCCCCGATATCCGCCTTTGCTTTTTGCTTTGCGCGAGGATTTAAGGCTCTAGAGGAGGTAAAAGCAAACAAACAACTTCTCCCCCGCCCCGAAGCAAAACAAACCGCGTGTTGGGCACAGCTGTAAGGAAGTGTTTCGGGTTCTCTTGCACGAGAACGGATCTGCCGTGGGCTTCTGTGCAAAGCGGGTAAGAGTAAGTCGGGACCGAAGTGGAAAGCAGCGTCTGGCAAGGTCCGCCCCAAACCCTGCTCCACCGAGCCTCTCCTCCCGAACGCTGCTTTCAGGTGCCTGCTAAAATAAATAAGCGTGCTCAAATGGGTCCGATATTTCTCTCTCTTTCTTTTTCGGTAGAAGTTGACAGGATATGTATGAATTTGGGGGGGGGGGGTTTGAGGGTTTCGATTGGATTGCGATTTGACACTAAACTATTAAATTATATAGGGCTTACATTTAGTTTTATTGCTTCCAAGTTTATCCCAGCATAATCTAAAGTGCTCTGTTCGTTTTTTCCCGCTTTCTTTCCAACACGTTTCCCACTATTTCGTTTTCCCGGTAAAATATTCTGCACCTCGGATTTAGTAATGCTCGTCTCCTCCGCAGCTTTATTTACTGATCCCTTTAGTACTTTGGGTCACAGCAGATCGCGATCCGTGTTGTTTGGGACCAGCTTGCAGAGAGCTGTGTCTGCAGCACTGTGACTACTGGGGGTTTGATCGTAATTCATTCGGAATTTTATAGCTAGGAAAATACACACACAGACACGCTCCACATACACGCACTCACAGAGCATTAACTATGCAGACACTCTCGGTATATCCATAATAATAAATTTTAAAATTAACTATCTGCGATTTGCCCTACTCTGTGATCATTGCGCCTGTTTATTGAACAGCATCTTGTTTTGTGACTGGAAAATACAGCAGAAAAAAAAAAAAGTTCTGAGTCTGGTCCGGACGCCTCCCCTAAAACCCAGGGTGGTTTTCTGTTTGTCTCGCCCGCTTCCCCGCCTCCTCCCGGGAAGGTGGGATGCGGCGGGACCCTGGGGACCGGGCATGGGGCCGATCGGGGCGGCGGGCGCGGAGCCCCCGCTCCTCTGGCAGCCCCTGCGAGGGAGAGCAGCGGCCCGGCCGGGCAGGGGGAGGGGGAGCCCAGCAGCTCTCAAGAGTTTCTCCCTCTCGCTAACGGTCTGTAATTGTTTTCCCCCAGCAGACCATGCCTTCCATCAGCAGTGACAGGGCTGCCCTGTGCGCCGGCTGCGGGGGGAAAATCTCCGACCGTTATTACCTCCTGGCTGTGGATAAACAGTGGCACATGCGCTGCCTGAAGTGCTGTGAATGTAAACTCAACCTGGAGTCCGAGCTCACCTGCTTCAGCAAGGACGGCAGCATCTACTGCAAGGAGGACTACTACAGGTACAGCTCGCCCTCGGCCACCAGCCGGGGAGGGGGCACTGCCCGCCGACCCCCCCCGAGCACACCCTGTCCCGAGGAGACAGCGGAGGGGATCCGTGGGCACGCGTGGGGCAGGCTGCGGGCTCCTCAAACCTCCCCCTGCAGAGGGAGGCTCGCGGGGAGGAGGAGTGCCGTGTTCCGGGAGGGGGGCACGGCCCGGGCACAGCTCCCCCAGCCCGGCTGCGGTACCGGGGCCTCCCGTGCGGGGCCGGCGGAGCCGCTCCTCGCCCGCCCGCGCTGCTTGCTCCGGCCCGGGGGTGCGGGACGTTCGCGGGGCGGGGGTCGGTGCCTCTTCCTGGTGGGATCTGGCGGTGCAGGAGCTGCCCTGCGAGGTGCAAACGGGACGGGGCGTCCCCGCGCTGCCGTCCCGAGGGCCCGCCCGGCTGGGCTCTGCAAACCGGCTTTGTGCCGCTGCCCCGGGCCGGGCGGCCCCCGGGCCTCGCAGCCCTCGGCCGCCCTCCGGGCACACCCGACCGAGGACGGGGTGGTGGCAACGTGCCTCTCACCGTCTCCTCTGGCCTTTCTGTTTTGCAGGAGGTTTTCGGTTCAGAGATGTGCAAGATGTCACCTGGGGATTTCTGCCTCCGAGATGGTCATGAGGGCCAGGGATTTGGTATATCACTTAAATTGCTTCACTTGCACCACTTGCAACAAGATGCTGACCACTGGCGATCACTTTGGCATGAAGGACAATCTGGTGTACTGCCGCCTCCATTTCGAGACTCTCATCCAGGGGGAGTACCAGGTGCATTTCAATCACTCGGATGTAGCCGCTGGGAAGGGCCCGGCTTTGGGAGCGGGCTCTGCCAACACTTTGGGACTGCCTTATTACAACGGCGTGGGGACTGTCCAGAAGGGGAGACCCAGGAAAAGGAAAAGCCCAGGGCCTGGAGCAGATCTGGCAGCCTACAATGCAGGTAAGAGACCCCCACCTTCCCCCAGAACGGTTCAAATGGTTTGTTTCTGTTCACTTCCAAAGGGGGATTTCCGTTTATTTTAGCTTAAACCGTTAATAATAGTTTAGCTGCAGCATAATTATTGAGATCAAGTGCTGTCAAACTGCAATTACAGAAGCTAATATGTTAGCATTTTTCACTTCAGCTGGAAATAAAATGTTTTGAAGCAAGGTCATCTGGTTAAGGGGGGGGGAGAGAAGGGGGAATGTAGCCTGGAATAAAATCTGGAAACCAGAGATTTTAAGTTAGCACTTCGGAGAGCTGTGAATTTTCTTTAGTGGCTACACTTAAAGGCTGCTGACGGGTGAATTATTCTGCCCTGTGCTGAGCTCCTGCACCCTAAAGTTTTGGAAGGAGAGAGAGAGAGAGAGGAAGTGGCCGTTTCCCAAGGGCCCGGGGTGGGAGGTGGCCGTGGTGCCGGGCTGGGGGTGCCCGGGCAGGGGCTGCGGGCAGCAGGTGTCTGGGGCAGCACAGAGCCCGCTCACACGGGGCACGCTCGGCTGGAGTTTTGTTCGTCTGACGTGACTGGGAGAAGGGTCGGGAGACTCGCAGCATCCCTTTTCCATCCCCTCGCTGCCCCGCGGCGCAGCCGCTGCCCCTGAGCCGAGCCCAGCAGCGGGAGGAAGGGGAGCGGAGCTGGCAGCAGCCAGGGCTCTGTGTATCCAGCTGCAAACTTTCCGATGTGTTTCCTCGTTTAACCTCCCGGCCGCCACAGCACTGTAATTTTACAGGCAAAGGAATTCGAGCAGTCTCTTGCCCCCCCATCCCGCTCCCCTCCTTCCTCTCGCTCCGCTTCTCCGTGTAATGCCCACCAGAACTGCCCTCCCCGGGGCTTCCTGCGCTGCTCCTTGGATGCAACCGGGAAAACTGCTCGGACAGAACAAAATTCTTAGCTGTTGGTTTTACGAGAGGACTCGGAGGCGGGGGCGGGCTTCCCCCCAGAGCGGCGTTCCCGGGCCGGGGGCTCGGCCGTCCCGCCGGGCTCCGGGCCCCCAGCTCGTTTCTCCCCTCCGTTCTGCGCCTCAGTGTCCTCTGCGCTCCTCCGCTCCTTCCAGCCTGTTTTCTTTTTAATCTACCGCGTTCAGACGCGTCCCGTAGGGCGCAGATTTGCCTCCAACGTGTTTCTTTTTCCCGGAGAGGGCGTTCGGTAAAGGCCAAGCTTGCTGCGGGTGGTTTGGGGCCGCAGCTCTGCGCGCCCCGACAGCTGCGGGCTGCGCCGGCGGCCGCTCCGCCCGCGGGGAGGAGGAGGAGGAACGGGGGGAGGAAGGTGCGTGCGGGGCATCGAGAGGTGCAGGGGAGGTGAGGGGGGCTCGGGCTTCGCGCCGGGGGACGCGGCCCGGGATGGGGAGGCTGCGGGTGTTTTGCGCCTGAAGGGAGTAACAATAGCGACGGAATGGGGTGGTTTGCGCTGAAAATGGCAGGGAGAAAAGGCGCATCTCCAACCGGCAAACGCACCTCGGGAACGAAATTGCCAGCTATTATTGGTTTAACTAATTGCTGAATAATTTGGAAATAGTGCAAAAAGCAGTAGTAGTCCCAGTGGTGAAGGTTGATGAAAGGTGGATGTAGTGTTCTCGCGGGTAACAGTTCAGCTTTAAAACGTGCATCAAATATGCATCTTTCCCGTTTAAAAAGTCTCCTTTTCGAAGGGATTAGCTTTTAATTGTCCTTCCGCTGTCTCCCTGTGCAGGGCAGATGTTCAGATTCAAAGGACCTGTAAACCGAACCAGCGGCATCTGTCCTGGATGGGAGCACAGCCTGTGAAAGTCTTTCTGCTCCCTGACTTCCTAAATAAACCGCCTTTAACTGCGTTTTGAAAAATTCGTTTACAAAATAATTGCCCTCCGATTTTTTGGTCTTTTAATCTTTGTTTAAAGCTTGCAACTGAAACTTAAGAGATCTTCCTTGAGTCACCTTTGGCTTCTTTGCTTAAGCTATTTATCTGCTTAACTATTTACTAGACCAATAATCGACTAATTTATGCAGTAATAAGTGCCATTGATCTTGGAAATCAGACCAGGTTGCCCGCTGATGTAAAATTTCACAAACAAGTAAATTATTGCAAAGCCTTCAATTTTGTGCCTTTAAAGAGAAACCGTTTAAAAATGTGATGGTTTCTCTTTTTATTTTTAATGAAACTTGTCACCTCCTTCTCAGAAACTCACTAGAAATGCACAATGTTGTCCTCTGAGGGGATCTGCTCCTGGTAATTTGTGTAGAATACTTTGTGGAAATAAGTCTACACCCAGAGGTGGTGGGAAAAGGGGGACCCGTAAACTTGGCAGAGTCGAGGCTGAAATTATCTCGTAAATTGCAGTAAATATTCATCTGCAACACGAATTGGACTGACTTCCCCCCCCTACTTAAACAAGACTTCGTTTGCAGGGGGTTGATGGGTTTAGATGTGGATAGAGCCTGACAAGTGGAAAATAGCTTAGAAGGATGCTGGAACTTCAAAAAGATTTCTTTTTCTTTCTTTCCTCCTCCCTTTTTTTTTTTTTTTAGTGTGTTCCTGTGATCATAATTTCTTCCTTCACTTGTTGGAATGGAGTTTGATGGGTTTTTTAGGTCAGTAAATCAATGGCTGAAAGCTTGCTGAACACAGAAGCACCTGTAAAGAATTCTGAATACTCCCTTTGTGAATTAGACCCCAAACCTCCCACAGCCCGCTGTTTTATTCATTTCTATCTAGTCCGGCTTTAAGACACTAAAATATCCCGGAAAATGACAGATGTATTGCACAAACTTGGGGCACGACGAGCTGATAAAATACCCATAATCTATACAAGTTCCTTCGCTAGCAGGAACGTGCCTCGTGCTCCGCCGAGGGGGTGCCCGAGCAGCCCGGCTGGATGGAGCCCTCGGCCGGTGGGCACCGGGGCTGGCGGCGGTTTTTGGCCCCTGGCTCTCGGGGAACCCCCGGGCCGCCTGGAGCTGACCCTCCCAACGGGCTGTGGCACGAGTGGGGTGGGGTCTTTTTCCCTGACAAAAATACGAAAAGCGTGGAAAGTTTTGAAGAGCGAATCTCTCCTCGTTTCCCTTGGGACTAAAAGCTCAGAAGAAGGTTCCCTGTGACTCCAGGGGCAGAGCGAGCAGACGGGAGTCGCAGCCTAAAAAGGAATGTCTTGCAGAGATTTCCTAGGAAAAATAAGAATTTGCCCCTTTCCCTCTTCCTCTTTGCTTCTCCCCCTTCTCTCCCCCCCGCCGCCCCTCCCTGGTCATCCTTCGGGTCCCCGGGCGCATGTGGCCCCTCCCGGGGGGCTGGGGCTGGGGTCGGGGCTGGGGCAGGCGCAGGGGTTGGGGTCGGGCCGGGGCAGGGCTCCGGCCCCGCTCGCTGCCCGAGGGGCTCCCGGGGGCGCTCCCGCTGCCCGGGCGGGTGCGGGGCCGGGCCCGGGGCAGGGCCGGGGAGCGGAGCCGCAGCCCCTTCCCCGGCGGGGCGGGCGGGAGGAGCGCGGCTCGGCCGGGGCTGCCCGGGTTAATCGCGGCGCTCGGGGACTGACCGCGCACTCGCACCGGCCATTCAGCGCCATTCAATTGGCTTAATTGAGGGGAAAAACCCTGGCGGCGGCTCCTCCCGCGGGGCCCGGGCCCGGCCGCCCCTGGCCGGCCCCTTTGTTCTCCCGCCCCGCAGCCCCGGCCCGGCCGCGCTGCCCCCGGGGGGCTCCGCGAACGGGGGGGGCCCGGCCCTCCGGCAGCCCCGGGGGGCAGCGGGACGCGCGGCCCCTTTGTCCGAGGCTGCCGCGGAAGGCCGGAGGAAGAGGCTTCTAATCCCTGCTCTCCTCCTTCCTGGCCTTGTGATGCTCGGCCTGGGTGATAGTCGCTCCTTAAGACAGGCTTTATCTCCCCAGCAGCGTTTCTGGAAATGTCAAGGCCGAGGCAGCGCTGTCGTGTCTGTTGCTCCATGGTTTGGCACAGGCACCCTCCTTTGAGCACTGCCAGGTGCCTCGGGAGCAGCCACGGGTACCTCGCCTGCTCCCAGAGCCACAGCTTCACCCCTTTGCATCCCTGTGGGGAGCAGTTCGGGCATCTGCCTTCTCCAAGCATCTTCTCCTTCCTCCAAGGGGAAGGACTGTCTCTGCTCCTGTCCCAAGTACCACTCTGAGGGCTCTGTCTCACTTCTGTCCCTTTGAGGATATGGGTAACACAAAGTCCTCTACACCCTCCGACTGAACAAGGAATCTGGCTGCACCCCTGCCTGGTCTGGTTAATCACAAGTTCCCTCTCCAGGCAGCAGGAGGTTAAAACACCCCCTTGACTCAGATTACAGAAGGAAAGGGGTGTATGTTCCTGAGCCACTGAATATTGAGAGCTGATGCACACACCAAACATGTCTCTTGTTTAATCATTCTTTCAGAATCAGGATTAGTTTGCTTTCTTTTGGTGTAAGCTAACATGTCAAACACAAGTTACTAAGAACAAAAGTTCCCCTGAAGGAAATTCCTCTTTCCCATCTTCTTCATGTGCCAAATCCTCAGAGACCTACTAACTACTGAGCACATGCTTTGAATCCCAAGGCGCTGGGGGCTCTGGCCATGTGAGGGTGGAGAGTACTCCCAAATTCTCCTCCTCAGGCTTTGTCACAAAGGGACCAGCACATCCTGCTCTATGTTGCTGTTACTTGGTTTAGGGAGGTGTTACACATTATCTGCAGAGGGTATTTTGGTCACCAATATCAAAATGGAATGTTTGGTGCACATCACAATCCTGTGACCAGGTGGCCCTGTGGGGCTAAGGGGGGCTGTAAGTGCTACCACTGCTGCACCAGCCCAGGGTGGGAGGGCCATGGCCTGGGTGTGGGGTCTAGGGAAAAGCACAGGGGTCTTAGAAATGTTCTAGGGTCAAAAAAGAGACTTGGCACTGACTCAGAATTAGTTTTATCACAAAATAGAAATGAGACGTTAGTTTAAGGCTCCTCTATTGAGCTGGAATTCTACCAATTGTATTTCTGAAATCCCAGCAGGAGCCCGAGATACTGCAATGGAATGGAAATGTTACATACAGATAGTTCAGCAATTCCTTTGGGAGATCCACAGGGACACCACAAAGGAACAGGGAAGATAGTGCCTGAAAACAGAGGGTTGTGTGAGGAGCATGTACAGTGTTGGTTTTACACCCTGATGCCTTTTGCAGAAACTCCTCAGCTCTTCAAATCTCCTCTTACCCCCTTGGCCCGCTCTGTGTGTCTGTGCCTGCACCGCCCGTGGACACTGCGGAGTCAGGGGGGATGCAGACAACATTAACCAAATAGAACAGACCTTTGAGGATGGTGCCAGGCCCCACAGCCAAATCCTGGGGGGGATTGGCACCAGCCAGGACTGTTTCTGTCATGTTGGATGATGCCTGGAAGTGAAACCACTTGCACAAGACAAGGAACAGCTCACGCCCTCTCACACTTCCAAAATCTGTTCTGTAACTTCCATCAGAGACAAGGACATTTTGCTAGCCCCAAATGGTACGTGGTTACTGTCAGTTTAGTATCATTTTTACTGAGTAGATGAGGAGGTAAAATTACGAGAAATTCCAAGAGTAAATTGTTCATTGTCCTGTTGGGGCTTGATGAAAAGCTGACACCCTCATTCCATTCTGGGAGGGTTTAGAATCACTTTTATACCCTTGGATTCTGAATGCATCTCATTCTCTATGGAACATGTTAAAATCCAAATGCTCGCAGCCCTAGGGTTAGTTTTGTTGCATATTAACAGGAACAGACCTCAGTCCTGCAGACAGTTATTCTGATGTATTTCCTCCTGTCTCTCTGCCTTGTTATTTCTGGGAGGGTTTGAAAACCTTTAAGATGATACACAAAGGCCTTTTTCATTACTAGTATCTAAAATTCTTTGAGGACATTTTAAAAACAAGCATGATTTGGTTTTACATTTCCATAACAGAATTTTCGATGGGCATTATCATGTTATTCATCCTAGTACTCTTTATATCAGGAATTGTAGCTATGAAGGAGACTGGAGAACATAGGATGACTCCAACTGGACAGCTGGATCTCAGTTCTCAAACCAGTAAAGGTTTTGGTGCATCCCACCCAGCTCCGTTACTGCTCCATCGTTACTATCTCCTTTCAGCACCCTGTGCCTTTTAAATTCAGGTGCTCCCAGGCTTTCCATGCCAAAGGAGAACGAGCAGAAATGCTTCTCGTTGCCAGAATTTGGCACAAGCTGCTGGGGTCTGGAAAGGATTTATCCCAATGTGTGCACATGCACGCACACCCCCCCAGACCCCCAGGTTCCTGTTGGCAGGGCCATTGGCTTCAGCTGGTTTTTAAATCACAGGAGTGCAGAAACACCCAGCAAAGTTGGAGCCTTCGGCCACTCTGGGCGGGTCTGCTGAACAAACGCGCTTTGGGGCTTGGAGCTGGATTTTTGCTCCACACTGTGCCATATCTTTGGGGAAGGTTTTGAAAGGCTCAGGTTTGGAAAGCAGCTACTGTAGCTGCTGCAGACCTGCTGTTTAGGGAGTCCATGTGCATCTTGGCTTAGGAACGAGTGCATTTTATGTGCGTTTTTCAAACCTGTTTTTAATGCATGCCTTTCAGAACGTGGGTGTTTTTAGTAGGGCTGAGCCCCACTGATGGACAGCAGGAATTCAAACAGCACTATAAAGACATGTCCGTGAGATATATTCAGTTGTAACGAAACAGCAATAAATAATGGACAGTTGGAAACAAACCTGTTCGAGTGTTTAAGAAACTCACCAACAATTCATGTTTTAAAAGATTTTTTTCTCATTTTTTGCGTGCTGTGTAGAACAGAGATAGTAGTGATTTTTCATTACTTTTAACATAAAACTTGTAGGAAACAAGTAGGGAGTTGGAACGGGAAAAGCTAATTAATGACGGTTTGTCAGAGCTAATTTTCAGTTATATCCCTGATTTTTTTATTGGATTTAAGCTCAGTCCTTAATGTTATTTTAAGAGGTTTTCTATGGTTTACTTTATGCACAAATAAATGAGAAACTACTTTTGGTCTTCGAGATTATTTTGCTTGGCATTCAACATTTAATACTCCTTGATAATTTTACAGTGTTCTTGCTCGCAGACCTTCTTCACGGGCTTTATGGTTGATTTCTGCAAGTGTATCCGTCAGTGTCATTCCCTGATTCCAAAGGATATGACAGAAGTGATCATTCCAACTTGTATTTGCAACAACTTTTTTTTTTTTTAATGGAAATATAAACACATAACTAATTAAAAAGATATTTTTCATTTGGCATGCCAGTGAATATGTTGTATTAACAGCTTTATTTCTTTAGCTAGTCAGATTATAGTCATAATTTGCTGTTTGGTAGCCACAAACTTTATTTCTTTTATAGTGTTTCATTTAATAGCCTCTCTTGTACTCTACAGGGTTTAGTTTGATGGAGGAAATAATTATGATTTTAACTAGTCTGTTCCATTGAGATTCGAGTGGACTGCATTGCACAGCTCTCTGTGTGTTACAGTGCAATTTATAGTGATCCCAAGCACATTAAACCATTCACGGAGTCGAGGACAGCTCCTGTCCTCCCACAGACAGGGCAGGAAAGGCTCTGTGGGGAGGGAGGGGAGGAAAAGGGAAACAGGCCTGACATTTTAAAAGCCACAGAGGGGCAGGGCAGGGTCCTTGCAGGCTGGTTGTTCAAGGGAAAGCCAGAGGATGAGAAATATGATCCAGAGGGGCCACAGGCCCAGGGCAGTGCCCTCCCTGTGCTGGCACTGCTGAGGCACCTCCAGTGCTGGGGCAGTTCTGGGACCTCAGACAAGAGACATTGAGGGGCTGGAGCGTGTGCAGGGAAGGGAACGGAGCTGGGAAGGGGCTGGAGCAGCAGGAGGGGCTGAGGGAGCTGGGGGGCTCAGCCTGGAGAAAACAAGGCTCAGGGGGGACATTCTCGCTTCTCGGGTGGGGGTTCGGCTCTGCTCCCCCAGAACAAGGGACAGGACAAGAGGAAACGGCCTCAAGCTGTGCCAGGGGAGGTTTAGGTTGGATATTAGGAAAAATCTCTTCCCTAGAAGGCTTGTCCAGCCCTGGCACAGCTGCCCAGAGCACTGGTGGAGTCCCCATCCCTGGAGGGATTTGAAAGCCCTGTGGATGTGGCACTTGGGGACGTGGGTCAGTGGTGGCCTTGGCAGCACTGGGGGAACAGTTGGACGCAATGACCTCAGAGGGCTTTTCCCACCTGAGCTGTGCCATGAACCTGTGAAATGGAGGGAGGGCAAGCAGGGCTAGTGCCAGCACACGCCCCGGGGTGTTACTGCCATCGCTGCCCTCAGGGCAACTGCAAACAATGCTGGGTGTGGAGCAGGACACTTACAGGCCTTTTCCTCTGGTTGCCCCAAGCTTTGAGCTGCAATGAGAACGATGGTGACCACCTGGACAGGGACCAGCAGTACCCCAGCAACCAGAAAACCAAGCGCATGAGGACGTCCTTCAAACACCACCAGCTGCGGACGATGAAGTCGTACTTCGCCATCAACCACAACCCCGACGCCAAGGACTTGAAACAGCTGGCTCAGAAAACTGGCCTCACCAAAAGAGTTCTTCAGGTAAGGACAGCAGTCTTTTATCTCGAGAAGTGATCAAAATATCAATTTGACATTGAAATGCCACGGATTTTGCTGATTTTCAAGCTTCTCTTAGTCATTTGTACCTTCCGTGGGACTGCAGTTAAATCCTAGGGAGTGTGAGAAGAGTTAATTCTTTTCAGTTTCCCTAAAACAGATCCTTTGGGTTCTAATTTTTAATGAGAGTTGTGAAGGTTTGGGGCCCTGCTTGTTTTCCTGAAGTCAATTCTGGTGCATGTTTTAGCTTCCAGTGTGCTGTGAGAAAAAGTGACTTATTTCAGTTAGTGTGTTCCCTGCAAATAGAGAGCTCTTAGTTTAGAAATTACTGTCAATGTTTACCTTTGTAAGAAATTAATCAACAGTTTGAATTTATTTTATCAGGACAAGAAGGGTAGCTTTTCTTTCTTAACTGAAGTGGACATAAATTTAATTTTTCAAAAATTAATTTTCTATTCATAGTTGATAACTCAGAATGAAAGGAGTCGGCATTTTAAAAGTACTTGTTCTCTAAAAGCTGGATTTTTCTTGCTTCATGGATACACATTCCATTTGAGCTATTGTGGGAAGGAAAGGGGGGAACATTAGTTGGTTCAGCTGCATTTTAATTTATAGTTCTGATTCAAGAAGTCAATTTTAATGACCACTTATCCAAATACCTATACCTAAATAGGTGATAGAGATAAATTTGGGCATATAGGAGCCATGACATTCCAAGATCTATTGCTGAAAGTTTTAAGTGGATCTTAATTGTAGAAAAAAGGATTTGTGATCTTCCCAGAGCCAGGCAGGGCTGAGCCCCCTCCTGGGACAGTCGTGGGCAGTGTGTGAGGTGAGGGGAGGGCAGGGGGCTGAGCTGCTGAGCAAAACTGAATTCTCTGCAGAGATCCTGGGCCCTGCAGTGCTGGCCCCCAGCAGAGGGAGGAATCAGGGTTTTGTGGGCTCCCAGCCACACAACCAATGCCAAACTGATCCTTCTCTTGGCTGTGTCCCCGAGCTGGAGTTGGTGGTGCTGTTTTCCTGAGGCTGGTTTGGGTGGAGGAGCAGAGTCCTCTGGCAGGACCAGGGCACAGCCCAGCATGGTGCAGTGGCTCTCCCAGCTGCTGTCCTTGTCCTCCATCCACACACATGGGGGGAGCAATTCACTGCATCTGTCTGTCCTTGGTTTGACCCTTCTCTTTGTTTTACCCTCCCAGTTTGGACACTCCAGTCATACCAGTGCTTTCTGTGCACTCACACCCCAATGACCTGCCAAGTTTCACAGAGTGCATTAAGACATGAGATCAATCTAGAAAGTGTCTTTCTCTTGTCTCATCTTTCTGTTCCTTCTGCTTGCTCCACACCAACTTTGACTTCCACCTCTCTCTTCTCTTTTCCCCTAATGGATCTTTCCTTCCATCTGTTTTTCCAAGATATCTTCTCTGCCTCTTTTTCAGAATGTATTTTCTAGTCTCCAAAATTGGAGTCCACACCTATTACACTTCCATTCCTCTTTGTGTTTCTTCACTGCTTCTGTTTCCTTCTTAATCATGTCACATTTGGCAGTTTTAAGGTGCTTTGTGGTTCTTCTTTTTTTTGTGTGTTTTGTAGCAGACCCTTACAATTTCTCCAAACTTCAGTTGTTGTTTTGGTATTTGGTGTTTCACTCCTTTTACTGTCACAGTTGAATATATACATACTCCTGTATGTCTGGGCTCCTTTAGCTGCAGAGTGGTGGAAGGTAATAGCTGTTGGTGAGAATTGTACCCTGAGGATGATGCTGTTGGAGGCAATTCCAAAAAATGGCTTGGGGTGATACTTTGTCTGGTATCACTTGAGTTTTCCTGTCTGTTTATGAGCACTCTCTACTCACAGATGTTTTGCTTTAAAATTAATTTGGGCCATGAAAAAACAAATGTGTATTTCATATGTTTTAGAACCTTTGTGCCCTGTTGGTTCGTCTTTACCTGTGAGAGGCAATTTTTCAAACACTGAAGTTCACCTCCATGAATTTCAGGGTTGCTCTTTGCTGGGGAAAACTCACCACGGTCACTGAGACAGTGTCACTTGTTCATTCTTTTGAGCCAGAAAGGCTGGCACTGCCCTGTGTCCCTCACTGAACACAGAGTGATTCCCTGGCACTGTTGATCAAACAAGCACCATCAGCATCAGCCTGTGCCACACCCTGGAGCTGCCCGGGCTCCTGGCTGTACGTGCCCACTTGCAGGAGTCAGAACCCTTCCATGATCCCCAGCAGGTGTTGGTGGGCTGTTGGATCTCCTGTGTGTTCAGATCTCAGTTCAGCTCAGGAAGGACCCTGGCTCTTTGGGTACCTTTATTAGAATATATTTTAATGGAAAATGCTGGGCAGCAGATCGAGAGAAACAGATTCTCTTGTTGTGAAACCCGTGCACTCCCTAAACACACCAAGTGAGCTCCTGGGGGTTTGGGGAGCAGCTGTAGTGCCCTTGCCACAGAGACAGTCCCACAGGACAGGTCATGAGAGGCCTCGGAGGTGAGCAGAGAAACGGAGCATGTTCTTAATGGTCTGGGATACCAGAGCTGGAAGACCCGACTGGTGTCCTTGCTTTATATACAATATTTCACCAGCTGCACATGTCCAGCAGTGGGATGGCCTGGAAAGGTAACACTGCTCCTCAGAGTGCACTGCCTTCAGTGCCTTCGTGATGCACACTGTTGTCCCTGAGCAGCCACATTAGAATCACAGTAAGCCTATTTATGTTTTTAACACTTCTTTCTATTTAGTTTCCTTCCAGTTTTGGTTTATATTTGCAATTTAATTCGTATACCTCTCGTACTGCAGCTGGGGAACACAAGCCCTTTAGTGTAAGCTGTCCTTCATAGTTAAAGGGACCAGCTAATTGTGAGCTAACTAACCTAGCTGGCACAAGTGCTGCTCTTTGGGGAGCTGATCTTTCTTTTCCTGAGTTTAGGAAGGGAAGGTGGAGGTGGATAGCCCCCAGGAGCTATGGTTAGCTGGTTACAGGTGCGTACCTCTTCTCTCCTCAGGAGTCTGCACTATGTTTATCCATGGTCAAAGCAATTTAGGAACATGAAGCATCTTTTTCCAGTGGGTGTCTTGTGCACCATTTATTCTCTGCTGAGTCACCCCCAGTACAGCTGCTCTCAGAACTCTACACAGATCACTGTGTGCAGTTGCATTCTCTGCTTCAGTTTCCAGGAGCCAGCAAGTCCAAAATGTCCCCACCCAGTGTGGGGACCTGCACTGCCCTCGGGTGAGGGTTTGCTTTGGGCTGCAGACTTTTCCCAAGTCCCCACTCATTAAACGTCCCTGGGTCCCCCTTTGACTGTGCAGTCACTAATTACAGCAGAGTAATCACAGTGTGTGCAATGAGTGAGCACAGTCTGCTTTGAGGGGCCACATCCTCTACGTTTTGTGTCTCCACTTACTAGTTAGTGAAATTCAGGGAACATGAATGTCTCCAGGTACTGTGGGAATGAGCAAAATTGTGTTTAAAAAATTGTTTCTAGCAGAGGCTGTTCATAGAGCTAATATGTAACAGAGGCAGCAATGGAGGTGTTACAAACCAGAAAATAAAGTCATCTGAGGTGATGATCTCATTCACTGCAGCGGCCAATTCCCTTGTAACACTTAGTGGGCTTATTTTCAATACTTCCCTATCATATGGAGATGTTCTTTTATTCCTATTTGACTTGGTGGAGACAAAGAATTGGCTGCACAGGTCGCTGAAGAGACAGTGCGATATTTTCCCCTCAGTAAATGTGACTGTGCCCGAGTGGGGAGTGCCCAGCTCCAGGCCCAGCCCTGCTCAGCCGAGTGTGGGAGCAGCAGTGCTGGGGCTCTGCAGCTGCTTTGAGCTTCCAGGGGGAGTTTGGGTCCGTGTTTTCCCGTCTGATTTGAAATAGCTCAGCCTTGTACTGATACAGTTGGACAGAAAACCACTAAATACTTCCCAGTGACTTTGTTTATTCCTCGGTCCCGAAGAGCAGATTCCCAATTGTGCAATTGCTGTGAGATGGGTCCTTCTGGAAGGATTCTTTCAGTTCAGCATGTGTGGGTTGTTCTGTCTGTAATGCCCTCCCAGGTGCAGGGCCCTGCACTGCTGTGTCCAGCTGGAATAAAGGCCCAGGGCAGCAGGAGCAGCCCCACAGCCCAGGGAATAAGAGTTTCCATCTTTCACCATTCTCTAACGTGAAGTCTTTGCTGAATGGTGTCATATCTTAAGCACATACCAGAATGTCAATATGGTGGTAACGATGTTATCCCTTTCCATCATAAGACAAGGTATTTTCAGAATTTAAATTAACAAGTAATTAGATGTATTTTCAGTAATAATATGAATACTTATTATTAGTCAGTTTTAAAGAGCCTTATAATGATTAGCTGATTAACCCTGACAATATCTCAGTGAGGAAGGGAGTAAAAGCAGTCATATAATCTCTATAGTTGAATAATACTTACAAGATTAGTGATATTTTCTGTGTCTAGCAGGAATTTCCACTATTAAAGAGACAATGACCCATGTCACATGTGGGGCTCCTGAAGGCTGGTCATTGGTAAGGGCAGCTGAGCTCAGGTTTTTGTATTTGATGGGAGATGAGGGGAACACAAACACTGAGAATCTCGGTCACTTTACATCCTGCATGTGTCAAATCCCAAACACAAAAGGTACCACAGAGCCTCTGGCCCTGCTGAGGTTGAGGAGCAGTTGGACATTTAGGAACAGTGTAAATACACAAAATAGTTCTGGTGCCTTCGACTGCTTTACGTGCTTTAAACAAGACAATTGCTTTGTGAATAGGAATGAAAATGTGGCCCATATTTGGCATTACTGCATACAAAAATATGTGTATTCTTAATGAACATAGGTGTGTAGTTGTGCACAAGTAAGTGCACATGCCACCAGACCAGTGGTTTTGCCTGTTGTGTTTTAATTATTGCACAGCTACGCACACACAGCAACAGCAGGTGCCCCCAAACTCCTGTTCCACCTGCTCAGCTGTCATCCTTCATACAACTACCACAAGGTATTTTAAAGGATCAAACCCACATTACTTTGTGGAACAAGTATAAATTATCTCTCACTGAAAGGTAAAAAATCCTATAAATACTCCAGTTGCTGTTTTTCCCATTCCGAACCACTTGGCGCTCGAGGCTTTGTGGCACCTTAAAGACCCTTGACTGGGGAGAAAGCTTTCCAGAGAAGGAGTAGGAGTGCTCAGGAAAAGGAGTCTGTGGCTGGAGCATCCCTAGATGAGAGGAAAGCCAGTCTGAGGTGCACCAGCGGGGCAGGTCCCCGAGCTCTGGCTGCAGCGAGCTGGGAGTGCCGGGGGCTCCTCCGGCAGTGTCCGTGTGTCCGATGGCTCCCGGTGCTCCGGCCTGGAGCGGATCCACGGCAGGGCCCTCAGCGCCAGGGCCCAGCACCTCTGCAGGGCTGGGTGTCCTCGGGAGCCCACACACTGCAGCTCCCTGGGCAGGCCAAGAAGAGGAGCCCAGTGGAGATCCCGTCCAGTGCAGATCCCGCACTCAGCCCGTCCCGGCTCCAAGGAGTGCAGAGGTGATGAGGCCCATGGATTTGGGATGGAAAGGCTCAGTCCCACCCCCAGAGCAGGTCAGCATGAGGACAGTGGGATCAGCACTGAGTCCATGGCAAAGAATGTAACCACGACAGAGGCCTTGGATAAATAAGCACAGTGGCATTGCACCCAGTTTGTATCAGGAACATCACCTGGTGTCAACAAATACCGTGTGGAACACAGGGTAGTTAATGACACTTTCAGATTTAGTCCCAGTCCTGTGCTTTCAGCAAGTTTCACAGTTTTATTTTATCTATTTTCAAAAAGGTCAGAAAATATTTTCTCTTTAAAAACTCCTGCAGACAGTGGAAAGCATTGTTGGACCTAAACACTGGAACTTAACTGAGAAAGGTGAAGTTGTAGCTTTTGTCCTTCACTCAGATAATAATCAAAGAATGCAAGAAGTAGAAACCTTGGAAAAAATTCTGTGTGTGGAGGTAATTCCTACGATAATGACAGTTTCTGATGCAATGTGGGTCTTTGATACCATTCAAGCCTCTTTTCCCAACATTATTCCAGTACTGAAAACATTTGAGAAGGGAAACTGGCATAGCAGAAGGGAGCTGAAGCATCTGAGAAAGAAGAGTAAGAGAAGAGTGAGGAAGAGAGCCAGTCCTCTTAGAAAAGGGGGAGGCAGCAGAGCTGGAGACATGAGGAAGCTCCTGGGAGAGCAGGAAGGCAGGAGCTGTGGGATGAGCCCCCGGTGCTCACAGTGGGAGATGGACTGAGATGTGAGGGGGCCCCAGCTCATGGGTCCATATCCATCAGGTGGTTGTTGTCTCCTCACCCACACAGGTGGGACTGAGGGCCAGCAGGGCACATTTCTAAGCATCCTTTCACACAGCCAGCACAGCCAGACTGCCACCCTCTGTGCTCAGTCCCTCCTGTCCCAGGCAGACACTTTCCAGGGATTGCAGGAGAGGGAAGCAGGAATCCTTTGCCCGCAGAGGCCGCTTCTCATGACCAGGGCTACTCTTCTAACATGTCACCAGTAAAAACATCTTTCCCGATTCCAGCACTGATGAACTTGTGAATGTGCTTTTGCTTTTTGAAACGCTGCAGCTCTTTAAATGCTACCCTGTCCTGTTGAACTGTTCCAGGTTTGGTTTCAAAACGCTCGAGCCAAATTCAGACGGAACCTCTTGCGTCAAGAAAACACAGGGGTGGATAAGACTTCAGACTCCACACTGCAAGCAGGGACCCCGTCAGGCCCTGCCTCAGAAATATCCAATGCCTCCATGAGTCCATCCAGCACTCCCACGACTCTCACGGACTTGACTAACCCCACGATGCCTACTGTGACCTCCGTCCTGACATCAGTGCCCGGCAGCCTTGAGGTTCACGAATCTCGAAGTCCTTCACAGACAACCCTTACAAACCTTTTCTGATGACTCTTTCTTAATAATTTCTTTAAAAAAGAAATTATTCTTAGCTGAAATTCCAAGTGTATTTTAATAGAGGCTTTGAGCAACTGACTAACCACAATTAGGATCTCTCCTAAAAAAAACAGAAGGAAGTGTAGTGTTCTGGTATTATGGAGTACGGACTGAAGAATAACTTGGAAGATCTATTGCAACACAACATTTGTGTAACTGTACAGTTTTGTGGACTGAGCAAGGGAAACAGCAATTAATTTAAGTTGGCTAAAGCTTCTGTATTTTCAAAGACTGCCATGTGCCTTATATACTGTTTTATCTACATTCTTTGGATTCCATGTCCACTTCTCTCTTTTTCTCTCTGTATATTTATGACCAGGGCAAAAATGTTAAAGAGTTTGTTACTTTGGATAGTCCTAAGCCTTTCATTGGTTGCTTTGTTGTTTTAGAATTTTAAGGTCGAAGTCTGTTCGAATACCAGAATTTGTAAAATCTAATCAGTAATAAAACCACTTATGGAAACTACTTGGTAATGGCTGCAGTTACATTTAACATTAGTGTCACAGTCGAGGTAGGCTGAGTGGGTGTAAAAGGGTTAGAAAACTGCACTTCAAACACAATATCTGCCTAGGAAAAACCCTAAGTGTGATGTACACGTTCCTCCCGTTCCTGAAGTGTATATGGTGAGAAATCCAGCTCGTGCAGCAGTCTGGGTATCTTCATGGTAGAGAAATAAATGTTAGTTGCAGGTAGAAGTTATCAGATAATGTCGAAATTCAAACAGAAGAACACTCCTGAGTTTTGCTGTGTGGAACAAGCCTGACTTCAGCCAGGGTGAGGGAGCAGGAGGGGCCTGTCCCGTGTCACGGGGGAGGTGAGGGGGGTCCCCCAGCAGGGTGTCCCACAGCCCCTCCCGGACATGGACACTGGGAAATCTTTTCCCTGGGGAAATGGCAGAAGGATTTCAGGTTATTTTAGAACATTGGTGAGCAAAGTCAAGGCAAAACGATGTTTTATGAAGTCACAGCCTTACATTTTTTGTAATGCTTTGAAGGAATCAAAAGCCAAGGAAGAATATGGTACTACTGACACTAATAAAAGTGGTTACTCCTTTGATCATTATGGACCTTTCAGTACAATTGAATTCCTTCTCCCCAAAAATCTCTGCAGAATATAACTCATATTTTGAGTTTTTTCCCTATTGTTTTTAAGGATGCTTTTCTGTAATTAAAGAAATACCTCAGCAAAGTTTAAACACGGATAAGAACGAGTCTACACCACGCTGTTTGCCCAGTAGGTTGAGAGGTTTGGAGTGGTCCATAAAATGCAGATGGCTGTTCCTTTTCAGACCTGTTCCAATCAGTTATTTCAGTCAGATGTTGGGGTGTATGTGGCCAGCTCTCTCAAACTAATCCCTCATTCCCACTGGATCGGAATTACTAAAAGATTATTCCGAATAAACAGCGAGAGAGGTGCCAAGATTCGTGTTCTTTGCCCTTCTCAGGGCATTGAAGATGATTTCGCAGGCTGGACTCTCTACTAACAATGTTTTGGTTTTAAAAGCGCCACATTTATTCCACTTTCTGAGCTGAAAATTTGCCATTCTTGTGCAAGCCAAATTCCTGTCGAGATCAGGGAGAGATTTCAGAGCATAAGGACTGTGGGATAGAATTGCTGACATAATTAGGTCATTTATTAACCTTTTTTGTACTTCAGCTTAAAAAGCCCCACAGGTGAGCTATGGGAAAAGCAAGGTAGTCCTCAAAAGATGAAAACTGGCTGAGATCTGTGAGAGGGATTAAGGTCTGGTCACCAAACCCGAGGGGCTGGCAGAGCCCTTTGAGTTTGTGCACAGTGATGAGACACTAGAAACGATCATTTGGGTTGAATTAATAACTGGTACAGGTTTGTCCAGGACATTTCCCCTCGTAATCCAAGTGTCTAACAAGGACATTGTGCTGGTTGCTGGACTGTAACAGAGCACAGATCTGCCTTTCAAAGCTGTTCTGACCCGGAGATTCTGCTCTTTGTAACGTTTTGTTCGATGTCAATCACCTTGGAGGTTTTATTTTTTTTTTTTTACGTGCTTAGCTGGATCTTTTCTTGATTTCAAAGGCAGTTTTGGTCCACTGTTAAATGGTTACAGCCCGTAATTAAACCCCTGTGTGTTAACCTGTAAACAGTTTGACAAAGCTGACTCCTGAATCCTGAAGTGTTGCGGCAAATGTAGCGGAAAACAATTCCAGTGGTTCTCTCCCATTGTACTGCTATTATTTGTGGTCTTGTGTTTGACTACCTGAACCCACGTGGATGGAAGTACCTTTCCAATCAGTTCTCAATATTGCCTTTTCAGACACCTGACGTTTGTGGAGGGGAATATTCTTGTGTTAATCTTATCTGAAACCTATACGAGACAATTGGAGCAATTGTCTGGTCTAATCAAATCAGGGATTTTGCATTTAAATAAGAGACAATATTCTATGTAGGGTCTTTATGTAGGTGCATTAGGATTCACTCTGGCTCCGATGGCCTATGTTGTCCCCATGATTGTTTCAATCCTGTGGTATTGTTTGGTTGTTTAGAGCTTGTTGGTTTTGAATGCTGTACATTTTTTTACTACTGCAACCCTAATGTTTCTTCACATTCTTGTACAGTTCCACATTTGATGTATTAGTCTGGAATTCTGTTAAAAACATGAACAAAAATGGAAATGATATTTCTTTGGAAGTGTATTTTTACTGTATATCTAATTTGAACTAGTTGAACATACTTCTTTACATTTTGCATGATAGGTGTGTAGTTCATTTTTTAAATATGAAAGAGGCTTAAGAGTAACTTAGAACGAGAATATAATGAAACTATACAAATATGGAAATACATACAATGATTTGCTACTTTTTGACTCAAGAAACTTTTTGAAATACATTTTACCTAGTTTATTTAAGATAATGCAGATATTTTGTCTTTGAGTTCATACATAATACAGAATATAAAAGGGGATTGCACACTAGAAACACTTTCAAGTCACCTTGGCAGTCACCACCACACTGGATTGTTCTTGTCAAAGAGAGACAAAGGACATTTGAATTTAAGAGCACTGAATAAATATATTCTGATCTACAACAGAGAGGGATGGGATTGCTGCAAATGATATGTAATCACAGCTTAAAATTTATTGACACTATTAATGGCTACATTTCATAACACTTATTTTTTATTCAAATTATCTAAGTTTGGGGAGAGAAGACCAAGGATCATTATACTAATGAAGAAGGCAAATGAGTGCCCTGGAAGCAAAAGTCAATTTATTGAATATACTATGGATGCAGAAAGTACCTCCAAGATATTTTGGTTTCCAAACTGTCTTTCCCTCTTGGCTGTTAAAACCCCCCACATAATTAGGCCACTTTCCTATAGCTGTTTGCTATTTTTTGTCTGTTGGAAGGAAGCTTAGGCACCTCTAAGAACAATCTTCATCTAAAGGAAAAGGAGAAAGAAACACAACTCAAAACAAGGATCAGGCTTCACGCTGAGATGTGGCAATGGCAAAGCCACCCAGGTGCTCGGGGGAGTTCTGTGTGTCCCTGCTCATGGTCCTCACTTAGTGATGCTTGGAAGGAGAGATTTCAAACCAAAGCAGGTGAATTGTGGAGGTTTTGTTTCTAACTTCAGCAGGCCAGGGCTAATTACACCACTCTGTTTCTGTTTTTTAAAAATGAAATTTGACATAAATTATCATTAGGAAGGGTCACAGCATCAAAGACAGGGTGAAGAGATAAGCCCAGACTTTTGAAGAAGGACTTTTTTCCCCTTTTCTTGTCTTTCCATCTTTTTAACCCTGGTTTTCCTACATCATCTCGCTGCCCCAGCTCGTGTCCCCGTGCTCAGGTGCTCCCTCTCTGCTGGCACAGAGTCACTGTGAGATGTTTTTCCTGCAGGTGGCTTTGCCTTTGTGCCAGGAGCAGGAGTAACTGTGGGGCTGCACCCACCCCCCTGTGTTTCTGTGCTCAGAGGGCAGCAGGTGTGAAAGGGCACTCATGGAAAGGGTGGATCTGCAGCTGGGCTCGCTGGCACTTGGGGCTGGTTTGTAGGGAGCTGCCCCTCTGTACTGGGGCTGAGCTGCCCCTCGAGCTGTCCCAGCCGTGCCCGGGTGTGTCCCGGGATCGGCCCCGTGCAGGAGCAGACACCCCCAGGAACTCCTGCCAGCAGGGCAGTGCTCTGTGCTGAGGAGGGACAACCCAGCCCCAAAAATTATTTCCACTGAAGCAGCGAATGCCGACAGGTCTGATAGACAGAAATGTAAATTCCTGCTGCAATTGTACTCTCCCCCAGCCTTTCACAGGAGTTAAACAGGGGCTCCTCTCACCATTCCACCAGTAACACCAGAGCTGAGCTGGACCAGGGCATGAATGGCATTTATCCATTTGACAATTCCCTTAATCAAGGACCAGATAAAAAGGTACACTGGGCATTTAATGGGTTTCTGATCTGATTAGTATGATGCTGGCAGCTCTTTCTGGCCTAACAATTGGATTTCTGTAGCAACTAAGGTCAGTAAATATTTTGGGCGTTCTGCTTTGAGCAAAGCACAGTACTTACAATATGCAACCTGCTGTCAGTAAATTCAGACCCTGCAGTATCACTAATGTACTAATGCATAACACTGTGCAAATTATCATTATTTCCAGAGAATGCCACTGCTGTGGAAGTTCTTCTTTTGATAAAAAAAGTCCCTGTAAAGGCACAGCTCAGCCTGTGAATTACACAGCTTGTTTACATGCCACTATATCAATTTATTACATTGTAAAATCCAGCACTTAACAGGAAGTTGCATTTTTGCAACAACCTTTAGGAAAAAAAAGAAATAATTATGCTTTTCATTAAAGACAGAAACCTATTCTATCCCCTGCATAGTTCAGCCCAGTAGCTACAGAAAAAAAAAAATAACAGCCAAACCAAGAGGGATACAAATATTTGGGCAGTGTGATGTAACTCCATGGTGACCTGTTTAATTGATAAATCTCAGTGGTGCAGACCTGGGGTCATCAGTGCTGGGGAGGCACAGTGGATCTGCAGCACTGCAAACACAGAAACAGCCACGTCTGCTTCTTGCAGTGACACCAAACTACCCGGGCCACAGTCATTACTGGGAATTTAATGTTCCTTTGTTCCTGTTCAGAAACAGGGAGAAGATCTAATGTTCCTAGAAGAGGGGTTTGTTTTTCCAGGGGCACAGTGGTGCAGTACAGAGCAGCAATGACCAGGAGCTCTAACTCATGGATTCTGGGTGCTGTCCAAAGCCTGCCCTGGACAGCTGGAGGTGATTCCTTCCTTGCACGGGGCTCAACCCCCAGTTCTCCCAGTGCTCTCCATGCATGGGTCTGGCAGCTCTTGCTGGCTGTCCTTGGTGACTGAAGGGAGCAGAGAGTCCCAGAGGGTTATTGATGTTCTCCCAGCTCTGCCCTGCTGAACTCTCCTGGTGAATTGGCAGCGGTGGCAGGGCCCGCACTCCCAAGGCCTTGGCCGGGCAGTGCCTCTGCCCACCCAGTGCTCTGGAGCTCCACCTGAGCTGGCCACACCCTCCAAGGGCAGTTCAAAGCAGGTCCTTGCCTAACTGACCCCCCTGTTTAACCTTGGCCCACGGGAAGTGCAGCCATGGATCGGTGTGCACAGGTTTCAGCTGTTCTCCAGGTACAGCCTCCACCCACAGAAACTGTGTGTCCACCAGCTCTTTCTTCTGCATTCCCACGTCATTTCCATGGCTTTCATCGGTCATTTTTTGCAGTCCTTCTTCTGGAAATGAAGACTAACAAAAGAAATACTCCATAGTATGGCTTTGCAGACTGTGGTTGAGCAAGAAACTGATGCCAAGCCTCGCCCAAGTCTGGGAAAGGATTCTGGGAATGTAGGGCAGAGCAATTCCTGAAAGGCCAGTCTCTCACCCACAGACAGATAAAAGGGTGAACAGACATCATTGCTTGGACTGAGTCCCCAGAGACATCTCACCTCTTGAACCCAGAGCATCTGAGAATTTGTTAATGGTCATATGAAACTTCATCATTGCTTTTGTAATTATCCCAGACAGGGAGTTCCAGGTTTTTCACACTGTGGATCCCGGAACACTTTCTGCTGGAGCACAGACTGTGTCTGGTGGATTTAACCCTGCTGACCACGGACTTGCCTTTGTTAGTTCACATGCACAGATCCCTCAGAAGTAGCTCAAAAGCTTTTACATCCCCTTTTGTTCCTGTCTGATCTGGCCGTTTCTGAGCAGCCTGCAGACAAGTGTGAGCAGCCCGTGGACTCGGGAGATGAGATGTTTCATACCAGGAGCTTGCACTGCTCTTTGAACAGAGGCTCTTCCCTGCAGCACTGTCTGCAGTGCTCACTTTCATCTGGGCAGGGCTCGTAGGAGAGCCCTTGGAACGGGCTGCTGGCCTGGCCAGCTGCTGGTGCCTTTGGAGCCGATGTTATGCTGAAGGAAATCAGGCATGCGTGTTCCTACCACCTCCTTCAGTCAGTCCTAATTAATGCAGACCCAGACTTTCTGCATTTCATACCAGGCACTGACTCCCAACACCTCACCCAGCAGAAGTGAGGTGTCACACTGAGTGACAGCAGAAGTCACACTGCAGCCACTGTCACTGGTGCTACAGAAACAAGCCCAACCACCCACTCTCTGAGAGGCTTTTTAACATAATGAAGGCCATTTGTGGCCTTCCTTTCTCTGTATGTCTTTTCCAGTTCTGCCCTATTGTGTCTACAGAATTCAGGAACCCATGTTAGATTAATATAAAAGCTGTACAATGCTCTTTTCTGTGATTCTTTACTCCTCAGCTCCCTGAGTGCAGGCAGTTCCTACTCATGTTTTGTGTTCATACTCTCTTTCTGTCTCTCTGTTTTGTCCCAGAGATTATAGATTGTGCACACCAACACCCACTGGCACTGACAGGATTCTCCAGAGTCCCTTCTGGCTGTTCCAGCACAAAAGAGGAGTCTCAGAAAAGACATTGGCAGCTATTTGTAGAATTACTTTCTCCCCACAAGACCCCTCCAGCTCCTGGGGGTCAGTGTTGGGAGCGAAAGGTGTGTCACTGCCCCTCACACGAGGGTCCCATCACTGTCAGCTGCCTTAGAACAGCCCCGAAGCTGGGCTGCTTTCACCAGATCTGCATAAAAATATAAT